TATAATTATAATATTTATAATAAGAAAATATTAATAATTATATAAATTTTAACAGAGTAATAAGCAGAACTAGAAGATTTATAATAATTAAAAAAATTTAGAATATTAATAAATTACTAGATTCTGGAATATTTTATAATTTTAAAAAAATTTAATATCTATTAGACTTACTAAATAAAGATTTTTTTTATTATTATTTTATAGTTTATTATTACTTAAAAAAAATAATATTCTGGCTGACTGTCTTACTGAGAAAAAATCTAGTATTAAAATATCTAAGAATTATTAATATTAAATATTATTAAAATTAAAATAATTAAAATTTAATATTATTCTAGTATTTTTATTTATATTTTTTATATCCAAGATTCTAGCTTCTGTAAAACTAATTTTTCAGATAATTAATTAAATATTTATTATTAATTATAGTTATTTATTATTAAAATCTCTTTAGGAGAAAGCACGACAGCTAAATAATAATTTATTTTTTAAAAAATAAATTATTATTATATTAAAATTAATTAATAATTTTGAATAAGAGAAATCTCTAAATCTAATTATTAAATAAAATTTATTATTAATTATTATTTATATATTTAGAATACACGAAGATATTAGCTTTTATAAAATAGTAATATTATTAAAATATCTAGAATAAAAATATCTGATATTATATAAATAATTATTTAATATATAAGAAAAAAAATATCTATTATAATCTTTCTTTAAATCTATTTTAATTTTTATTAATTTTATTATATTTTTAGTAATATATTTTAATAAAAATTTATTTCTTTCCGAAGAACCGCCATGGCTTCGATATTATTTTTATAATAATAAATTAATTTAGTAAATATATAATTTTTATTTTATATATTAAGTAAATATCTACTCAGAATATAATCTATTTATTTATAAATTAAGTATATATCTGGACTGGATTATCTGATATAATTATATCTGATCACGGGGGGCAGTTTACAGCTGATTTTTAAAATAAATTTTATAAAATTTTATAAATTAAATTAAAATTCTTTATTATATATTATTTTTAAATTAATAAATAAATAGAAATTATCAATTAATATATTACTCAGTAATTTATTCTATTTATTAATTATTTTTAGAATAATTAATTAGAATTATTATTTTTAATTAATTTTATAATTATATTTCTGTTATATGAATCAACGGGATTATTGCTATTTATAATAAAAAAAATATAAATTAAAAATATTATTTAATTAAATATTTTTTATAAAATTTTTACTATATGTAATTACTCAGGAGCAGGTACAGAAGTTTATTTATTAAATAAAATAAATATAATATTTTATATAAAATAATATATAAAAGACTTAAAATTAGTAAATTTAATAAATAAATTATTATTAATATCTAGATAATTATAATATCAGTAATAAAATTTTTATTAATATAAAAATTAGCACTGGGGCCAGCCCTTACAAAAACTTTTAAAAAATTAATATAAATTTATTTTAATTATTAATAAAATCAGAAATATATATAAAATTTATTTTTTAGAAAATATATATATACATCCAGTCTTTTATTCTGAAAAATTATATTTACAGAATTTATTAGAAATTCTATTTAGCCAGATCCAGAACGCCGCTATTTTTATTAAAATTAATAATTAGATAAAATAAAAGATTAAAAAAATTTTAGTTAATTATTTATATTATAGCTGTCTGTAATATAAAGTTAGATAACTTATATTAGATAAAGCAGATTATATATAATATTCTATTAAAAATTTTAAAAATATTTCTTTTTAATTATAAAATTATTATATAAAGAATTCTATCTGTTCTGATTCTTTTAAATAACTGCCGCAGTGGCTCGCTGCGGCCGAGGCTGATAAATTTATATTAAATTATAAGAATAATAATATTCTGCTAGCTGAGAATAACCAGTCTTAATAAAAAAAGTAATATAATAATAAGCAGTATTCAGAGATATATAACTAGATTATATAATATAATTTTATTTATTTTATTTATTTTACATTATTTATTTATTTTTATTATTTATATATATTCTTTTATACTTTCTACTTTTCCTCCTCATGTTCGATATTCTAGTCTAGATGCACTAAATAAGACATATTTGATCGGCTCTCACAGAATCAAGCGTTCATCACGACATCAATATTGATCTAGAACATGGTTTCAACATAAAATCCCGAATATTCCTGAAACAAATGATTGAGAAAGTTATACATTCACTAAAACAAAAAAATACATATAATAGAAAAGTGATTTATAATTGATATTCTATCTTGCAGATATTATTCTTTTTAGCTTCATTCACTAATGTTTTTATTATTTCGATTCCTGTAAGCCCTTTAGCTTTATACATTAATCCAATAATAGATTCTACTTCTCTATCAAAGCTATGGCTGCCATTATTATTATTTCCTGAGGTAGATCATAGCATATGACTGCTATCTACGAGTCACGTGACAAGACATGGGAGGCCGAGGTCTCACACTGAGTATATATGTGGGATTCTGGGGTCTGCAGCCTGCAAGTATCTCCGGGTAAATGATGGCCATAATTTTATTATGGTCTTGTTTTGAGGTTTTACCCCTAGAAGTCTCTCCAACTGGACCGTTCTACCCCATTTATCATTAGATGATTGATCCCTTATTTGAACTAGTCCTTTGATATAACCATAGCCAAATAATCTATATGCTGTACTGAGTTATAAGAATATGATTGATTTGCATTAAGTTCCGAGCCTGTCAGAGCTGAGCTGCCCCTATTTGCACAAGACAGATCCCAAGAATCTTACGGTAGGATTACTCAGCTAGGTATATGGTCGACTTTCCAGCAAGAACGGAGTAGTCTTGGTACAACGTGGCCTTTTGTAGGGGCTATTAACAACCTCCGGCTGCGACTTATGTATTCTTGGAGTCGCTGAAAACTGTCTGATTACGTTCTACTTGTCTATAGGACTCTCAAGTTCATCACTACCATTACAGACGCAGTAGTCCTATATCGTTTGGCTCTGCGCACACAAGGCAGACAGTCATGGTAGTCCATCTAGCCCCAATCGCCATGAATACTCTGAATTACGAAATATTGACTAAATACCCAGGCTCAAACACCTCAGCAAAGGAAGGCCAACGAAAGGTTTGCGAAGCAGGAATCTGCAAAGCGTGGTAAAGGCAAGACAGTTGCCAAGTCAAAGCAGACTCCAAGGTCGCCAGTGTCCACTGTGTGGGTGGGTATGTTGCGAAGTGCTTTACAGCCACCTCAGTCACCAATGCTAACATTAAAACAGCTATTCTCGCGTTCGTTGTCTGTGGAGGAATCTTCCTTGAGATCCTGGGGATCATACCGAAGCTTTGGTCAACGATGGTCGCAAGCATCAACCGCCTAATGCTCTGAGGCTATGGAGACTTTTAAGACTGTTTTAAGTTGCTTTCAAAACAGCGGCGGTGATACCATTGATGTACCCAACTGATATCCCAAGTCTCTTGTTTTGTTCCGCGTTCCTGTTTTGCGCGCTACCGAGGTTTTGGGTTCTTATTATTTGTCATGCCGTGAAAAGCGCAGGTCGCATGTGCGGAACCACAATTAGACACTACTATGGTGACTCCGTGAATTTCTTTCCCTTAATCTAAGATATATTGATTGATAGTTGTTCCTCAGGGAGATGTCATGACCCGTTGGTTCTTGGCCCTCTTCTTCTTCGGCTTGCGCTGGCCATTTCCATCTACAGCTAAATCATGCTTCTCTCCACTATCCCGAGAAACAGGGACCGTAGTCTTCTTTACCCGCTTCTTCTTTTTAACCAATGTTCCGTCGGAGGGGACTCCTGTTGGATGGACCCGCTCTGACTCCCTTTGCAATTCCAGTCGGAACCTTTCTACTTGCTGCATCGCCTTGGCCATTTCCGCATCATCCTCGGCCCTTGCGACGCTTTGGGTGTATCCTGATGATACCCCCTCTTCTCCCAAAGTGAGGCGTTGTAGACCGCTGGAATCCACTAACAGCGGTGACCGATTTAATTTATTAAGGGAGTTAGTGTCTTTGACACCAAGCTCCTCTTCGTGTCCAATCGTCTCATCCGGGATTACGTGATATCTTCTAAGTCGTGATCCGGCCGTGGACTGGGTCTCTTCAGGTAAGGGAGAAGACATGTGATCGCTGTGTCGTTCCCTCGTTTCATTCAATTTGAGATCAATGATCGGAATAGCGTCAATGTTTAGCTCGCCTTCGTCCGAGATCTGCAATTGGGGGCGGGATGGCTCAGATATAGCGGTCCACGCATCTTCGGTTCCAATGTAAAACGGGTCATCTCGAGTGCGCTCTTTTCGGTAGAGTTTACGCCTCACGAGAGCAGCCTGATCCCCAAAACGATCAACTCCGGCGGTTGCAAATGACGTCAGTTGCAAATCATCTGAAGTGCTGTCCATACCCTGCTTATCTGGTGCAGATGTCTCTCGACTATAGTAGTATTCATGGAATGGCAGTTTGCTCTCTTTGTCGAGAGGCATTCCGTGATCATGACTGAAAAGTTTCCAGAGATCTTTATTGAACGTCTGGTGTAAATGTAGCTCGCCTGGCGATTGAACTTTCTTCTGGGCATTAACAGAAACCGGGTTTAGCTCGAGGCCATCGAAAAGACTGGGAATCACCGAAGATAGCAAAAATGGGATATCGTGGGTATCTAGACTCGTTGAATGTGCGGCGTCTGCTGCTAATCGCATAATTTCTAGGAACTCGATGGCCCTTTCCTGCACATTCAAATCTGGATGCGCCCCCAGGGCTTCTAGGAAGTCGATAATTCGGGCCAGATTGAGTGCAATCTCGCTCCTTTTGCTCGAGCTCCAGTCTCCACCGCCACTGCAGAGTATTTGAGTGAAAATTTTTGGTATAGCTTGGACATACAGGGAAAGAGTCCTTGCTGGTAACGACACGTTGGACAGGTCTATTAACGAGTGAAGAGTCTGTCTAGGTGACGAGAGGTATTGAGCATACTCCCCGACGACCCATGCAAGGGGGCCTAGTGCACTGTTGTTCGACATTGGCACTCCGGCGAACAGGGTTTGCCTGTTGTCAGTAAGAACCAGAGACTCCGCAGCCCTAGTTGCTTCCATCCGAACTTCTCGAACACGGACAGCGATATTCCGTATCTCTGAACCAATTCGGTCCGTTATGTTACTCTGAGATAGGGTTTCTTGCTCTTTATGTGTAGCATTTGTCAAGAAGGTATCCTCGCTGTATGCCGGGAGAAGGGTTACCAACCGCATCAGCACGTCGACATACCATTCGAAGTCTGTCAGGTTTGAGTAATTGTCAGAGGAGCATATGTCTAATATGCGATGTAGGACCTGAACCCTGTATTCTGGCGGCAATATGAGTGGCGCCTTATTCGTCCATTCACTTTGCGGCTCATTAAGCTCCCATTCGGAGTACCCATCTCCAGGTTCAGAGTGGCTTCCCTTCTTGAGTGATTGGGAACCCATAAGCTGGGAAATCAGCCGACCAACGATGGATTGCAGGTTATCACTCGTGACCATTCTTGCTGCAAGCTCAAGTGCTTGGAGGCGGATGGATATATCGGCGTCATCTAAGCAATGCATTATCACATCCTGTTGCATTGACACTAGGCCTGGATATGTGAGCACAATCCTATTGAAGGCTAGGAGCGCCACATATTTGACTTGTGCTTCTCTGTTAGCCTCTTTCTTGGTTTAATCATTCTAAATTTTTTGTTCTTGAAGGCGCTCTCACGGTTTGGATCAGAGTCGGAGACCACCATGCCCCGAAGTTTGCCAACACACAAACTTGCAATTTCATCCTTTTCTTCGATTCCCGCATCGAAATCAAGTATACCTCCCTGAATCAAGCCATTGATGCACTCATAAAGTAATGACATGGCCGTAGTTGTTTGGATTATATTCACTAATGGACGGTGCAGCTTTCGCACCAATCGCGGTTCGAGTGGCGTCAAAGTCGCGAACTATGACTGTTAGGAATGTGATATAATCTAAGCACGAGGTCCAACGTACGAGCTTTATTATCTTTATGGCCATCCAATTGTTACCCCCATCTACCAGCAGCTCAAAGAATCTTGGGGCAAGTGGCAGAAAATCATGAGGCCTCCGCCACCCTAATTCACATACAACGTTGAGCACCGCCGTAGTAACGCTGGTGTCCTCTTCGTCATCCATCAGCCTTTCCTTGATCTTAGGCCATGCTAGTTTAAGTGCATCAGGGTAAGCTAAAGCGAGTCTATAGAGACATATAATAGCCTTCTTCCGCACCACAGCATGGGAGTGAGAAACTCGAGATAAGACGTCTGGAAGTAAAGATATTGAAAGGGATGTCGTTGCGATGTTTGGCAGTGTGATCAACGGAAGGGACATATTCGGTATGCTGTGAGAGACGAGATCCTGTAATATTCTAGTCAGCGGAAACGTGCTATTCGGTGAATGGGAGTTATGACCTTTTTTAAAAGGTTTGTTGCCAGCATCAGCACCTCTGTGTCAGGTCTGAAACTCTGGACTGCTCCGAGGTACCCAGCCCGTTTCTGTAGATACTTCGCGGACGACATGACCTCCAGAACATGAAACGAAGCCCACGACATGTCATAACCAAACATCTCCAGATATATTAATTTCAAGAGTGCCGTGGCCTTTTTGTCTACCAGGAGTAAGTTGTAAGCAAGCCGAGCTGAATGTATGTACGCACGTACCCATATCCTGCGATCTAATTTCGGTCTTGCATTCTCGCAAACTATCTTGTATGTATTCCTCCTCCGTTCCCTTGTGGTTCCGGAGACCTTTTATAAGATCATAGAGTGATTTTTCAAACCTGGTTTGACCCGAATTAGCGTTTATCATGAATATTGTAGAACGGGTGCTGACATTGTGCCTGGGCTGATATTGACGCTATAACCCCACTGGCATTTGTTAAGGCGTGTGAATAGTGGTTGAATTGTTCTAGATCAGTACCTGCAGACGTTGGGTTACGTATTATGGTAGGAGACACTGGGTATGCGAGGTCGGAGCGTCATATAACTAACCCAACGCTATACATTTCAAGTACAGAGTACTTGCGTATCTACGGAGCAGCTAGTTATCTAATACCTTGACTGGGCAGATAATATTCCCCCCTTACCAAAATTGGTTAGTTAGTCAACTGATAATTAACTGATTAGTTAACGTAGCTTCCAACCGACTCAGCTACCCGCCCGGGTCGGCCACCCAAGTAATGCCATACAAAAGATGCCCTTTTTTAGATCAAGCTATCTTCACCACCAGAATTCTATAGAAATTGAAATAGAGTATAGACCTGATTATATACATTATAGATAGGACTGTTAGTGTATTTTCTGATTTTTTTAATTGTGCGAAATATGGTAATGATAGAGTAAAACATTTAAGCTTCTGTGATAGTATAAATAGTAATTAAAAAGTTCTAAAATAGACCTAGAAGATATTACAGAGACTGATATATCTGTTCGAAACTTTGTAGATTCGTAGCTATTACAATTACTGGGATAAAACAACCTGGTAAATATGTCTTTCACATAGTACTACATGGCTGGCCAACCTGGGCGGGTGGCCCGACTTGGCCCAAGATGGGATGGGAACTGGTAGACTAGTCACTTAGTTACGTTACAGCAGTCTGGTAGCTGACTCATATCAACACTTGAGCCCTATTGGTTAGTTGAACCACCCCTGTACTACTACTACCATTAACTCAAGAAAGCGATACCTTGGCGGGTTGATTGATAACGCTGGACATCATGAGCACCACCTGGCGGCAATTGTCGAACCAAATCATTCCCTTCTCTGTGGTCAGCACATGAACAGATACTCCCTCAGATATTCCATTCGATCCTGACCTGTATATCCTCGTCTTACAAACAAGATCAGATACAGTTACTGTGGAACGTCGTGGTACTTCTAATACTGTCTAGCTACTTTCCCGCCAGCTCCATAACATGCAGACGACTCCTGAGTCCCATGTCGCGAATGGTTCGAGCTTGATAACCACTTTCCACCTGGCACAGAAGGCACCCCTCATACTTCAGCGTCAGTCTTCCAGTGTGGAAACATTCGCACCCTCATCGGTACGAGGGATTGAGAACTATGGTGTAGTAGAGCAATTATTGTTTTCATGCCTACAGTCGGGGGACGACAAATCTGCGCTACTTTGTACTGAGCAACTAGCAGCTCGATTTGGCGTGACTGATGAGAGAATACTTGGGTTGAGGGGCATGTATGAAGAAGCGGTCGCCGAGAATCGATCCAGTCTTGAAGAATGCTTGCAAACATATGACCTTGCGCTTTCCGAAAATCCCGTCAATTTGGTCCGTTCTTCCTGCCACTCAATAGACTCAATGCTAATATACAAGGAAGCCCGTACTCAAGCGTCGGATCGCGCTCCTACGCTCGCTGTCCAGGCCTGCGGATGCCATTTCTAGTCTCATCAAACTCCTGGACGCTGTCCCAACAGATGCGGAGGCTTGGTGTGAACTTGCAGATCTCTACTACTCTCAGGGGATGAGCTCACAGGCAGCTTTCTGTCTTGAGGAGGCCTTATTAATTGTGCCAAATTCTTGGAATGTATGAACAAAGGATCATGGGAAGGGCAGTGAGTGGAACGCTGATTCAATTTACCTTTAGATTCATGCGTTCCTCGGCGAAATCTTGTATTCGGGTGCCTGTGCTTCTGAAACAGGGGATTGCTCCCAGCTTTTGGAGGTGTCGATACATCATTTCTCCCGCAGCATAGAACTCTGCACTGATTATTTGCGGGGCTTCTACGGACTAGTCCTAGTAGGGTTCCCAATACTTCGCCTTGATGGATGTTAAAGACTGACGCTGAAGCAGGCAACGTCGCTCCTGGGGAGGAACAGACGTCTAAAGGATCGCTCTCGTGACCAATCACCGGTTCAAGCAAGCCTTCTTACTAACAGGCTCCTCGACGAGCTGACCCTTTTCGCAAGAAACAGACTCGATGAGATTGTGAGATCCCGATCTTCGGACCATCACTCTTGGAAGGGTAACCAAGGCGAGCTCATTGCGGCGAAGGAACTCCTTCACCGGCTCGACAATTTTCCCTTATAGGAGACATTGTTGGCTTATTCCCTTCTGCCACGTGCATCGGGTGTTTCATTTTGATCAATTACAATAATATTCTAGCTACCCGTCGAGCTCACAATAAGCAGTGCCCTAGAGCAAGTATGTAGGTGAACATTCTCCTTTTATATATAGTAACATTTCATTTGTTTTGCCTGTTTGTCTGTCCGACTGTCTGTTTTTTTTTCTTTTTGTTTGCTTTTATTTATTTATTTTTTTAAATTTCTTTTTTTACAAGCAGTTATGCTACCGTAAAGTGTACTAGTACAAAGTAAAGATCTGTAGTAGATCGGCATTCTGAATATTGCTTACAAAGGTTGCTGACATCAGGTCTAATATTGCCTATAACTAAGTCTTCCTATCTATCTTAACACTGTTACCTCGTTGTTGTTCATTATTCGCAGTTATTCTTGCCAATGTGTCTAGAGAGCGGATCCTCCTAGAATCTGAGGCATGACGGCGTTAGAATCGCTTTTCATTCCAACCGGTGGAGCTTGTCTTATGCTATCGGGCGCGTAAAACTTTCTGGCTTGTACTTTGTATGAAAGTCGCCGCCCGTAATCATGGGCCTATAGTGACTTAGTAGTCTAGTAGTACTGTGTAGGGCCGATCGAATCGCGCCGTCACACCTCTCAAGTACGGTAACTAGGCGTTACCAGGCATTCGAGTTGACTAGTGAGTCTTTGCGAACCTCCCATTCGACACAGACCTACTTGACGACGCATGCAATTCTGATCTCCCCTGCTTAGCTATCACTGTACCTGATGATTAAATATTCACTTCTTGGAGGTGTGTATACGATTGCTACATACACACACACCAGACTTAAACAGATACCAAAATCTCATACATAATCTAAGCTTTGAAGTTACTGGCACACACACACACACACACACACAAAGTGGGGATCTGTTGCACATAGCCTGACATTCTGGTGGGTAGCACTTACTCTGTTAGTCCTACCAGTATCATAAGTGGAGACCGTGTACGGAGTACAATACCTCAAATCGACATGGAATTGATTGGGCATTTGGGCAGCGGACTGGCTAACACCTGAAGGGAGAGGGCTGCCAGCTCAGTGCCTAATAGTACCTTAATAATGGCCGTGACGCCATGCAAAATAAAAACTTGTCCTCGATTTTATGTCTGGCTTGCCCAAAGGTCCACCAAAATACCAGTAGGCCCAAACATTTGATCTGATCGGGCCGTCAACTTTGCATTCTTCGTTATATTTTCCCCCGTGACAAGTTGTGTTTCGTCCCATCCCCGCTTCGTGCTTCCCTGCTGTCTCTCTTGGATTCACTGCGCTATATGCGAGACGCTCCCCTTCCATTTCGTTCTTATTTGCTTTGTTGTCTGGTGTCAGACTCGAAGTCCTGCTGTGCTCCGCAGCTGATGGGCACCCGATCCCACTAAATTTCAACCTTAAATCCAAGATCCAATTGCACTCCTGGGAAGTCTCATTTGGATGGTACTCGCCACTATCAGACATAAACAATGAATACTACTTTTATAATCCTGGGCCATTAAGAGTTAGGACATCTCATACAACTCAGGCTAGTCTGCAATTGCTCAACCCGCCATATACAACAGAGTCAACATATCTCGAGCCTGATTACCGCCTTTCAATCAACACTGGCACATTTTTGGATACCTTGAAGTATCCCACTTGATTCGCTGATATAGACTCATTGCAGTGTCCTGCACAAAAAGTGAATGCCAGAAGTGAGGGTGATGAAACGGGATCAAGGACTTCTTAGCATCAATCATGACGTGTGTCTCATCATGAATCTTGATAGTAACGCCGACTAACATACAAGCAGGCTCAATATCACCATTGGTCCTAGCCCCCACGGTTCAGACCGTTCCTCTATAACTGATGAAGAAGACTCTTCTGGGGTACAAGTATCTCCAATTTCCGATTCTGAAAGCCACGGATATAACGAATCTTATGAAGAATGGGCGCATCTCACATATCCCGATGAACTAAAGCCATCCGATTCAGCATCACGGCCCCGGACGTCACGTCATCCTCGCCCTCACAGTACGATACGAGGCCCGACCTCAACTGCAAGCCGCCGACACTCAGCGAGACGACATGTGGTACAGGAACGGGACGCGTACACCCGTCGTTCTCGCCGACATCCTTCGCCAGATTCGCCTGAAAGCGCCGACTCGGCGGATGAGTACGGAGGTCCTTATGGCCACACAGCACAAGAAAGACGATACTGGTCATCTATGCCTCAGGTTCCGGGTTACGCCCGCAGCTCGTCTCCTGGGCAGTCATACGTTTATCCGACCGGAGCTGGTATGCCCCACGGGCAATTCATGCACCCACCTGGTTTCCCCTCTCCATCAGACCAACTTGTAAGACTTGGCCATAATGGTCAAGCCCCGCAGCAGACGGCGTACCCTCACTCTGTATACGGGTATGGTGCTCAGTTACAGCAACCTCATGGCCCTCCCTTACCCCCGTTCTTCGTCCACGAGCATCATCCGGGTCATCATGCACACCAACTTCCGACAGCATCCCTTGGCCGAGGAGATGGTAACAACCCACCTCAGCGCGCAATGTCTCATATGTCCGCGCATGGTGCCCCTCCGTATGGTGGGCCACCTTTGAGCCCTCACGAACTGGTCCCTTATGGCCCAGGGGGTTATTACCCTTATAGGGAACCATATTCAATGGTTCCTGGGATGATCCCTCCGTACTTCAACCCCTATCCACGTGTGCCTTCTCCAAGTCAAGTCGAGTCGCCTGACTCGCCCGCCCCCGCCCCCGTTGATACAGTAAAAGATGAGGCTATCGCAAGGTTGGAGAAGTTGATAATGGAGGAACGGACTGAACGTGAGGCCCGGGAAGCCCGGGAAGCTGCTCGACAAGCCGCAATCGAGCAAGAGGCTGCCGAACAAGCCGCCAGGGAGGAACGTGCCGCATATGAAAAGAAGATAACAGAGGAGGCTGCAGCGCGAGCTAGAGCAGAGGCCGAGCAAAAAGCCGCCGAAGAAGCCGCAAAAGCAAAGCAAGAAGCGGAAGAAGCGGCGGCGGCGGCGGCGGCAGAAGCAGCGGCAGCAGCGACAGAGGCTGCGAACGCTGCAGCGGCAGAGGCAGTCGCCGCAGCGACAGCAGCTGCAGCCGCAGCCGCAAGCCCACCTCCTCCAGAGAAGAAGAAGCCTATAAAGTTCAAGGATGCTATTGGAAGGAAATTCAGTTTTCCTTTTGACTTATGCTGTACTTGGCAGGTAATGCCTATCCCGCCCCATGCATCGTCTGTCTTTGAAGATTGTATATCTGACTACAGTATCAATGAAGGGGATGGAAGAACTTATACGTCAAGCTTTTCTTCACATCGAGATAATCGGACCTCACGTTGCCGAGGGTCACTATGACTTGATAGGGCCCAATGGTGATATAATTCTTCCCCAGGTCTGGGAGACGGTCATTGAGCCCGACTGGACTATAACGATGCACATGTGGCCTATACCCGAGAAGCCAAAGACTCCCGAACCTGCCGCGCCGCCTGAACCTGTTCCTCAAGAGCCGCCCCCTCCCGAGGTTCCAGAAGCGCCTTCTGAGGAAGCTGTCATTGTACTTGAAGAGCCCAAAAAGAAGCCGGAGCCGGCAGGTACGAAACACACCCATCCCCATGTTATCTTATGCATGAAAATGGATTAACGCTCAATCATCGTCGCTTACATATGCTTGTTATGGTTTCATACATTTCACTAATCAATTTACAGGTTCTAAAAAATCACGCACCAAGGCCTCTGACCCCGGCCCACTTGCATTGTGGATGGTTGGTGGTAACCGCTTGCGTCTCAACAAGGCTTTAAAAACGGGAAAAAAGCCTAAAGCAGTCTATCACGGGATCTCTTGCCGTGTCATGTGAAGTTTCTCGGGTTTACAGTGTTGCACTCACATATTACAAATCAAAGACATCACGGATAGCGTATGTCGATTTGTGTATGCGGTCGGACTGGACTATCTTTCGAGGAAGCAGCTCCATCAGATTTGGGATATATTAACACTGGTATGTGTCAGATATTACACCGTGGCTCACGAAGTCTATAGATGCTAACCGGATCATTGTCTCATAGTACTTTGTGTGAAATGTGTTGTGAATCTCGAGCTTTCTTCACTCTTGTCTGCTTTAGACGGGGCATGGCTTTTCCTCTCGTTCATTCGAGATTGGTTTCTCATGCCCCTGGGGTTGGCTGATGACAATCAACCCTTTATGTTCTTCATGCCTCCTTCCTTCCCCCCAGCCTTTCTCTTTCCTTGTCTACTTCGGCAGTAACCTGCTATCCGTGTCTTTGTCTGAGAACTCCACCATCCGGTGTTTCTTATATCGAATACGAACATGTACATATACCCATAGAGTATTGCTTGTGCCCGAGTGTTTATATAACATGTCTATCTATTTACCAGTCCTTCCAATCTCCCCACAAGCCACTGCATCTTACGAGTGTCTAGATGCAATACAGACCAAAACAGTGAAGGGCGCCGGGTATTCCGATATCTAAACATAATCCCAGATACAGCCCTATAAATGAAATTCATAAAATATGTCACTCGGGTGTAAGCGGCCTCCAATTCAGATTATCACTAATGTTCCCCCCAAGAAGGTCTTGCATATTCGCATTTGGTTCTTTCGGGGGTTCAATGCTGACACTAGGAGAATCCAGGTCTCTTCGCCTTTGCTCGAAAACGTATTGGTCATCTGTGAGCCATTTTGCCTTGGAAGAGTTCCTGTTCTCCAAGAAAGACATCTTGGAAATGGCCCGTGGTGGCAACGGAGGATTTTCCGCATTGATTTTGCTGTCGCTTTCGGCAAGTGAAGGGGTAGGACTCCAATTAGCAGGACCGTCGCATGAGAAGGGATTCGAGTCGCGATGGACATTTAGCATATAATTCTTGGCCGGAGGGACCAACTGTGACTTCACAGGGATGCCTTTAACATGTAGATTAGTACACGTATTCGAAGAACGGCCAAAGCTTGATGGGCACGTGATATGACTTTGTGATCCAACATACCATTGTTCAACCACCATTTATATTGCTCAGAGCTAGCAGGTGGAAGCTCCGAAGCAATGCGCTCAAATGCCATCAACTCACCTCCCACTTTTTGTACCTGAGTCGTCATGTCCCCGAGCCTGAGATTGTTTTGTCGTTCATTGTATAGGGATTGCTGGATTCTGCTCTTTCGGGCCTCATCGACAACATTGATTGTGCATGTAAACATAGCCCAGACTGGGCGGTGATCCGAAATCCGGAGATCCGCAGAGCCATAATTTATCTGTCGGAGATTGGTTCCTCGCCAGAGAATCCGGTCACACCATGCGGGAATACGCGCCTTTTCCCTATAAGCGCTTAGCTACCTGTCGCACTTCAATATATCGTGAATAGGGCTCTTACGAGGTATCATAGTCATTGCTGCCGATATTATATTTGTAAGTCGGCGGGAAGCTAATAGGCCCTTCCGTGTAGAATTGGAAAGCCCTACCCGCCACCATCTGTAAATTCAACTGCGCTTTGTCAATCATGTTCCACAGGCCTTGCAGGAGAAGCACAAACCTGATCATTGTCGTACAGCGTCTGAAAATCTTGTTGCTGCACAAGTTCCCTCGCTTTCTGATTACTAAGACCGATGCGATAATTGAAGTCCCCTAGCCATATGACTGCATCATGGTCCTCGATTGATCTGTTCCTCAAAAACCTCAGACCGCGAAGAATAGTCTCATAATCTCTATTCCTCTCGTCGTAGTTCGCAAACCCAGCCGCAAGATGGGCGGTAACGAAGCAAAGTCGAGTGTTAGAATATTCAAAGCGGATGGCACAGCCTCCTTTATTACCAGCCATTCCCGAAAGGCCCGTCTATGCAGGTCAGCTGGATTGTCTCACATAGTATTGGTAAACCTACCTTTTTAACGTTTCCCTCGACATTTTTTATATCGCTTAAAGCATCTTCTCTCGCATATATCATCAAAGCAGAGCCTACAAGTTGGCCACTTCGCAAGAGGACATACTTGGGAGTTCCCTTGGAATCTGCACGTTTGTTAAGGCAGGTGTGTACCGCAATCTCCCACGCCTTGCGGGTAGTAGGGTCCGTTGACATTATCTGCTGTGGACTTAAGGTGACGATTTCTTGAAAGCCGACGGCGTATATCAGTGGATCCTCGGCCTGAGAATCGCACTCTGGGAATAACCATGCCTTTAAATCACCATCGGGTCCCTCATGTCGCCCATTGACATTAAATGTTCCCGTCCAGACTGTGACAGGTCTAGAATAAGAGAATTCCTCAGAACGTTGACTTAGTTCCTCTAACACGAGATCATTGACCGGGTCATGAAGATGCACTGGGACTTGGTCTGTCAACCGTCCCAATAGAAGATCAATTGTGTTTTGACGGGCCTTGTCGGTGAAGTTATTGACATATATCCGGGTAGCTGTTTTGCGCGCATCGGCGAGTGCCCCAGCAATGGACATTTTCCCGTGTCTTGTGAATGAGCTTTTCAGAGCACCGGTTCCGGCATACATTTTTGATAGCGCATCTCCATTATCCGCCCAGAGAGTCGAGTGCCGCAGTTGTAAATCGGGGCTTATCCCTCCCCCTTGTTGACTGAAGAAGATCTCAAGAGCCATCGAACTGATGATTGTTTGTACTAGGTTAGTCCTATCGAGGCAATCCAGGCAATTTGTTCTGAAAACCCCTTCTTGTTGGAGGATTACAGGAGAACTTCTTGACGCATGGTGCTTGTCATATAGAGCTACCGGTCCAGTTTCGCCAGACTGAAAATATGCAAACCCTTGTAGAGAATGGAAGATTTCCTGCCTTATCTGAGCGCTAGCTCCATATCCCAATGGCCCCCGCGCTTCCGCGTGGAAATCAAACTCTGTTACCTGCAGCAGAGTGTGATCCGACGAATGCTTATTGAGTGGGCTATTCTTTAAGTGGTCCCGGAACCTTGCTGTGAGACTAATTTCTCCGGGCTTTAATTCACTGAGAAGGTTAACCACATGAATTGCTCCATAATCCAGTTCAAGGGACCTAAAATGTTTATCGAAGGCATGCTTCGTTGCCTCAACAGATCTGGTTATCTCAATCTTTTGCTGTCCTGGAAGAAAGCCCGAGGCCTGCTCCCAGAATATAGGTACTGAGCCACGAACCTGAACATAGGAAAAAACAATGTCAGGTGGAATCCAGAGTATTGTCTCTGTTTCAACGAAATTGGCGACGTGACCATCGTCATCGATTCCTCGTGAATTAAATCTCGTACCAGCACGCCGAGACGACTGGCGCGATATTATTGTTAGTGAAGACGGAAGGTGAGTTTTGCGGGCACCAGGCAAAAGTTGAGCAGAGGCAGGAACAGTTAATGTTCCACAGAATCCCCGTATGACGCACGTCAGGATCTGAGAAGAGTCGAGATGCTGCTTTTCAACTGAAGACAGTTGATTTCTGAAAAGAAGAAGTGGGTGTATCATGTACGAATTCCACAGCATGTCTTGATCGAGAGACTCTATGTCGAAGATTCCCGTTTCGTCTGAGCTAAAATTCATCAGTTATGGTGCTATTTAACAAGTATATGTTAACTCACCGGTCCTGCAATCGATCAGTAAGATTGAACTCACAGCTGTAGTAGAAGCTACCGTCACTTAAGAGCTTCTTTAGCGCTAGGAAAGGAAAGTCTGGATTCGTCTCTTTGCTTTCAAAGTTGAAGTCATGGTCGAGGTCCTGACCGGCAATGGAGGACTCCGATTCGTAATCATGTCTGTCTTCGTATTTCGAATGATTTAGGCAGACTTCCCTTTCAGGTCAATTTTTGCACGACTGTGACCAACAGGCCTCTGGGAGGCTTACAGAAATCCACACTGTTTATTCTCAGGACAGTCTCTCCAGGTCTGATGGATGCGGCCTTGGAGGAGCCAGTGACCACGCACAGAAAAACCTCATCGTCTAGTGTAACCAGCCCAAGGGTCCCATATCCATCACCAATGACCCTATAGCCTTTCAGGTCCACAGACGATAATGGAGCAAATTCAACCAAGCATCGCGGCGTAGTCTTAAGATGAGACGCAGTGTTGGCTTCCGCTCCTGCCGAGCTATAGCGAAAGATAAGTACGTCTTCGGATGTGGCTAATGCAATAGTACGATATGGATAGTTTTGAGTATAAATGCGTAAACCGGACATTGTTAAAGTATGACTGGATCCTCGGTCCTCATGATGGAGCAGCTTACGTCCAGGTTGCAGCACACGCTTCGGTTGGCACTCTCAATGCTTGGCGCTTGCTACAAACATTGCGGCGCAGTCATTAGTTTGGCATGAGCGAGGGCTAGCAAGGAGTGTAGGAAGTACAGGAATAATGCGACTTTTGCATCGAAATTACATCGGTATTCTGACCGAATCTTGCTACTTTTAGGTGACGCAGAATCTATACTGATACGGTTGCAATAACCAACAGATTTCTACATAGAGCGTAAACTGACAGGATGAATTCAGTTGCTACTGGAGGCCATATGCTATTCTACACATCATGGGTCCCAGTAACTTCAGACAAACAGCAATCTCGACGATTTGCCTCAAAAAATTTGGGGATCTGAGAATCCTTGTGACACTTGTGACTTCGACTCCTGTTCGAGACGCGAATGTGAATTTGGAAGGGACCCCGCAGTATCCATTTGCCCCGAGTCGAGACCGTCTTCAACTCCAAACAAAGTAAGCGGTCACAGTAGGCCGTCGGAGGAAATTTTCCGGGTTTCTTCTCGATCATTATCGAAGTCATGACTTCTCTATTTTACTCCCGTTGATTACAATTCTTGCCCTCAATTTTACGTTTTCGCTTAATTTTGCATGATTTCTGGCGATAGAAAGGGGAGCGAAAGTGAATCAAGGGGGAATTCAAAGAACAAAGGCCAGAAAAGTAATAGGGATTAGATCTACCTACCAAAAGTGGGAAAAGGCAGTGGAAAGCGCGAAGGGCACTTTCACTTCTTTGTGGAAACTTTGATATCGCTGCCATCTATTACAGCAAATGGGACTTGCAGCACCTCGCAAGTAAGTTTCCACGGCTAACATCATTACATCCTTCACTATCCACCATTTGCGGTATTCTGACCAGGCAGTGACCTAGGAAAATCAAAATTTCTCATGACCCTAACAATACCAATTGGTCACGGTCAACAAGCGGTTTTGGGCATAAGATCTTGAGCTCCCAGGGATGGACACCCGGGAGCTTCTTGGGGGCACGCAATGCCGCACATGCTGAAATGTTTACCGCAGCGAGTGCATCTCATATCAAGGTTGTCTTGAAGGATGATACACTGGGCCTAGGGGCGCGACCTAAGCGTGATCCTTTAAATGAGCCCACTGGTCTTGATGCATTCAAAGGACTCCTTGGCCGGCTAAACGGCAAGTCAGACGCGGATTTGCAGGTCGAGCAGCAAAAGCGCGACAACGTAAAATTGGCTCGATATGCTGCCACGAAGTGGCAAGCAGTCACATTCATAAGTGGTGGCTTACTAGCTCAGGAAAAAACCACCCCCATTGTTACTGAGGAGCCACAAGGAATCCACAAAGACAAGCAAGAGGACAAACTGTCTGCTACGGTACCTGGACCTGACTCTGACGGCGTTGAGGGGTCAGATAACATTGGAGGCCAAAGTGATCAAAGCATCAAAAAGAAGAAATCGAAGTCCAAGAACCATCGGGAGAAGAAGGATAGAAAAAGAAAGCATACTGAAGAGCCTGAGTCCACGGACTCCGGAAATACGAACAAGAGGTCAACAGAGAAAAAGAGTAAGGCAACTAGGGATGATGAAGAAAGCTCTTCAACAACTTCCAAAGGTCTGTCGAGGGAGCGCCGTCCGATGGGGAGACATGTTTTTAGAGGCCGACATATTGCGCAGAAGAAAGCGGCTCTCATGGACGAGAAGTCCCTCAACGAGGTGAGAAGGAAATACTTCGATGTTGAAATCCCAGATCGCAGAAGCTAATATGTTACAGATATTCATGGTCAAATCATAGTGCTACATATCTCTCTCTCATGACATACCCTAGACTTATAGACATCGATATACTCCTTGCTGGTTTGGTTTGGTTTTTCGTACAGTCATCTATATCGACTCTTGGCCCACGTATACTTGCACGTAATACATTTAGGTAGACTGGTGTCATTTGGCGATTCAGGCCCAGTGCTGTGTCGTTGTAGTTTATGAGGCGTTGGGTTCGCTTCAAGCAAATATGTTGTACCAGAATATATAGTCTCGGCGACTGTACAATTTTTTTTGGAGGGGGGTCTTATCTTTTCTTTTCTCCTTCTATCTCTTTTTGGCGCGGGAGTCTAACATGCGCATACTTTCTACGGAGTATTATCTATCCGTTCCTCATCCGGATGTAACACTCATTTTACCTTGATTGTTATATGAAACACGTAAGAAAATGAACCTCTCTTTAAGATGCTATGGGCAGAGGATATATCTATTGGATTATTAAGATGGTTGCAAAGACACAGATGCAAGGAAGCCGATGGAACCACGGAGTATACAGTAGATAGTAGATAGCCAATTCAACCTGAACATCACCGTACTGGTCCGAATCGCTATACACAGTAAGGGAAAATGACGTGGGTGCCCACAGTGATCAGGCGTTGACCCACTATCTAGAAACCAACCCCGTCCCGGCAGCGACCTAGGCTTAGTTGTTACGTATTCTCTCGCCATCATCTCGACGAAGCATCTCCATCTTCTAGCAGTTAGGTTCGAGACTTTCGGATATATCCACTGTCTTGAGCGTTATCGACTCACTTAGCCCTCAAATATACTACCTGTTACTCACGTGGTAAATTCTTAATTGAAGCTCAGTCAAACTGAGCTCAGATCTTTTGACGTGGTTCATTGTCAATCTCAATCCCCTACGCGTCCAGATCTCCAGATAAATAACTCAGAACTTACGTCTTGGACTCGCTCCGGTTTATTTTTTACGCGCCCAGTCAACGGATGTCGCCCTCCGATACACCTCCGGGCCCTGTTCCATTTGGTCAGGAAAATGCAGCGCTACAACCTACACCTACGGAATGGTCTCTCAAGAGGCTCTGGAATCGGACAAGTTTGCCATACAGGGCAGGTTCGTCCGTAATGCCTGGTGGTTCTGCTTCCCAAGCAGCCCAAGAAACCACGAAGGAGTCAAGGGGGGCAAGGTGAGTATTTCAGTATATTTCTGCGAATCTTCCCCTCATGTCTCGGTCTCTGACAAGCAAGCGCTCTTCTAGTATTCGCTGGGCCCCACTCAATGTTGGACTCGAACGGCGCTTACAGACTCTGGTGGTGTTATGCCATACTTTAACAATTGCAATTCTTTTAACAGCGTTCTTCTTCGTGTGTGCAATCCCTTTATTCTGGCCTATTATACTGCCTTATCTTATCTATATATCCCTTTTTTCAACGGCAGCCACGTCAGGCGATTTGAGCGGTAGGTGTGACTTTCTACGATCACTCGGCGTATGGTCAATATATGCATCGTATTTCCCGGCCCGCTTGCATCGGTCAGAACCTCTCCTCCCAACCCGGAAGTATATCTTTGGCTATCATCCGCATGGAATCATCTCCCATGGCGCTTTTGCAGCGTTTGCTACCGAGGCTCTTGGGTTTGCAGGACTCTTTCCTGGTATCACCAACACCTTGCTTACGCTTGATTCGAACTTCCGAATCCCCTTCTACAGGGAATATGCACTAGCCATGGGGATTGCAAGTGTCTCGCGCGAATCATGCGAGAATTTGCTATCAAAAGGTGGTATTGATGGCGAAGGAATGGGCCGTGCTGTAACTATCGTCATAGGTGGTGCGCGCGAGTCTCTTGATGCTCTTCCGCATACATTGCGTCTTGTACTCAAGAGGCGTAAGGGTTTCATTAAACTGGCAATCCACACTGGCGCCGATCTTGTGCCTGTACTGGCCTTTGGTGAAAATGATCTCTATGAACAAGTGCGCTCTGAAAACCATCCTGTTATACACAAATTGCAGATGCTGGTCAAACACACATTGGGGTTTACTATTCCGTTATTTCATGCCCGTGGTGTGTTCAACTATGACGTGGGTCTGATGCCATATCGTCGGCCACTCAACATTGTTGTCGGTCGCCCAATCCATGTTGTGCAGCAGCGGGATAGGGAGAAGATCGACGATGATTATATCAACCATCTTCATTCCTTGTACGTGCAGGAATTAGAAAGAATATGGGAAGAGTGGAAAGATAAATATGCCAGGGACAGAACATCGGAGATCGAAATCGTTGCTTGAGACACACTAACAGCGAAGGTTTATCGGAGATAAAGGAAGATTCTTTTGTATCACTATCTACTATATACATATGCTTATATATACCTTTGCCTAGATTTATTAGGCACATAAGGCTTCGGTGAGTACGGAGTAAGGGGGTGAGCGAGGCTAGCAGATGCTTCCGATCCATCAATTTTCCAAGGTGTTCTCAATCATAGGAACATTCGAACTTCCATGATCGTGCCTGCAGTCTCATTATGGTAGAAAATCACCGGGAAGAGGTAGAGGTCTCTCTTCTTGGTATTATAGGGACTGCTAGTGCAAACCAAGTTGCGAGCAACTCTATCTAGAGGCACCTGATAAAGCAAGTCTAGGAGAAGTTAATTCCTCTCGAATCTGCGTATTAGGCTCAAGGTTTGAGTATATCTATTGTAGAAGGTATCGAGTATATGAACTTAACCATACAGTAAAAGGGCAATAACAACAGGGGCTAAATGCTGAAGACATCCAATCTATAGTATATACATATATAGCAATAATAAATCATCGGGCTGCAAACAACTGCCACTTTAGATTTCTCTAGGCTCTATCATGATAAGACTCACCTGGATCCCACATAATTACAAACATATAGTACTAGGAAGACCATACTACCCATATATCAAGCAGCAGTACCAAATTAGATGGATATATCTATACATTTATCTGTCTACCCCATGATCGTATGCTCGATACACCTTATTGATCCTGCCGTCGAAAAGGCATGCTTGGCCACAATTAATTAGCTAGCTGTATCAGCTCCTGTTCAACCAGAGGCCCAGGTACATACTAACAGTTAGTCCTAATAAACCTAAAACCAACTTTATGAAACAAAGATACCAAGTCGCCATCCCCATCCCATACTATATTGATTACTATTGGTTGATACTCCAGAGTCTCAAACAACACTTCTAGCATCCCCACTGCAACTACAAGGGCTATCGTCCAAACATACCTTCCTATAGAACGAATAATATTCTCCACTTCGGACGATTCGAAATGAAGAAATCATAAGGGGAATGATTATATCCTACTACCCTCTCAACATACTTTCATTATGTCATTACTAATCAACATGTCTACCACCAGGCAGGCGTAACAGGAATATCAGGACAGAGAAATGGGTAAAAAGGAAGCACAAGACGAAGTTAGGAAAGAGAAAGGGAAATCGGGTATCTAGATCAGTCCACACAAAAAGAAAGGGTATTATAGAAAGAAACGTGGAATGACAATGAAGAGGGTGCAAGGCAAGGCAAAGCGGAAAAGGTGAGAAACTGTACGGATTGGCGCGTGGCGGCAAGGCAGTCAAAAAACAGCCATACTGCCTGCCCTGAGCAGAACTAATAGACCTGAAGAGGAAATAGTGTCCCGTGAAAAGTTCGGGCGAAATGGAGGACAGGAAACGCGATTCAAGATCGCTGACCTTAGCCAGAGTCTGCCAAATCCGTAGTGCCCGTGCTCAACCCTGGCAAACCGGTCATGGATTCAGACGTCCGCCGACTTTCTGCGGCAACACGAACACTCCCACGAGATCCCTTGATGAGGTGCCCACTCTCAACGCGGTCCTGTAACATCTCATCCAGAATGCGTGACACGTCGTCCATGCCACGCCCTTTTTCTTCCGTTTCTTCTTCTTTGAGTGGTGAACAGAGACCAACGGCTGAGTCGTAAGCCGCTGAGTCATCACCATCGGGTTGATGTTCCTGACGCCCAGGTCTATCTTTCGTGTCTGACACGAAGGAGTCGGCTGCTGAGTGGGCAAGATCTCGATGTCGAGCAGCAGAGCGAAGGGCAGCAAGCATCCTGTCTTTGTCGTCTAATTGTAGACGAAGCTCATTGATCTCCATGTCCTTCTCCCGTAAAAGAGCTAGCACATCAGGGGCGTCAGAAGTAGCACTTCCGGCCTTCATACCTATGGACATGCGGGAATGACTGGACCGGCGTGCTTGTAGAAGTCGCCGCTCCAATGTAGAGATATAGCGATTCTTGTCGTTGAGATCGGCCTGAAGGGCCGCGATTTGTCTTTGGGCGCTTGCTTTCCCATCTGCAAATTCGCCAATAAAATCCTCCTCATCTTCGTTCCCAATATGCCCGTTTGAGAAAGGTTGATTACCGGGATAATCACTGCTGTTAACAGAAAGGTATGAGACTGGACGAAGCGACGAGTGCCCATATGCACCTAATGTAGACTGACTGAGTGAAGAACGCAAAGATCGAGATCCAGTCTCAGTAGCCGACATCCTTGATAGGCGACCAAGAGCGGATATGCTTCCATAGGTATTTACACCAGTAGACTTGGAACATAGAATCAGACGATTCAAATGCTCGATCCTTTCCTTTAATGCCGTCCGAGCCAGTTGCATTTCAAGCATTTGCTCTTCGTGGCGTGCCTGCGCTTCTTTTTCGAGCTGCTGCTCTTCCAGCTTCAGCTCCTTCTCAGCTTGAGCCTTGGTCTGACTCTCTAACTGGTTACGGAGCGTCTGAATCTCCATACGATACCGCTCCAGGAGAACTCTGCTTCCAGCATCACCTCCACCACTACCAAATGCTTCCTCCGCTCGTTTAGCATGACTGACAATGCTGTTCTTGGCTCGGGCTGCGAACTTCAAGGTGTTAAGGGTTTCGCCGGAGTGAGACTTGGCTGCTCCTCCTAGCTGAACCGTGCAAAGAATACTGACCAGTGAGTTTCCTGACAAAGCAGGCTGCAGTAATCTCGTGAGTTTGCTGTCTCGATATGGAAGGTGTTTCCCCTCTTTATCAGTTGGATTGCCCGTCTTATCTCTTGCCTCTGATAGCTTGGAGATGATGGTGCCCAATGTAAGTAAGCTTTTGTTGATGTGGGCACCTTCTGTTCGCCGTTCCTTGTCCTCGGCAGCGCGCTCTGAACCAGCAAGATCGATTAGACTGAGCGTCGACACTCGGACTCCACCTGGAACCAAGCCTGACCTTCTATCTTGAGAAGCTCCAGCAGGCACTCGTTCCCTGCTCTCAACAACAATTTGAACAACCGCGTGACTTCGAGAGCTGCGAGAGTTAAATTGCGTGCTACCGGTCCGCCTAGCATGATCGCCCCTCGCGATCACACGGAGAAGCTGTGTCGGGCTTTGAACAATTTCTTCTTTCAGTGGCGTGGCATATACACCACGTTTGCTGTCTTCGCGGAGCTTGATTTCCTCCTGTTGAGGGACAGCGGTTCCGCCAGATACCGAGGCTGACAGCAGATCGTGGATTTTCTCATTGTATATCTCCAGGTAGCTGACACGCAATAAGAACTCACGATGTGGCGTTTCCCTGATGAAGGAGAATATGTCTGTTATTGCCAACGGTATCACTCCCGGGGAGGTTGCGGTTCCTTGCATAGAAAAGGTCTTGCCCGTACCAGTCATGCCGTAAGCGAAGACTGTACCATGATATCCTTCCATTACCCGCCTCACTAGACGTTTCGCTGCAGAGTCGTAAATCTTTGCGTTATGTTCATGAGGGGTGAACACGTTATCTAACAAGAAGATATGAAAGAGTAAGTCACGTATACCTTGTTGCGCCCGAAGGAAATACGAAGGATATCCTTACCAAACGAATAATCACCGCCCTCCTTTCCGTTATAAGAGATAAGGCCTTGCCTCCCATCTACTGACCATTCAGAGGTCTTTGCGACTTCGGCACCATTCACGTCAGGGCGTACTCGGACGCTCACGATGACGTTCCCCTTTGTCTCTTTCAGCCTAGAGTTTGATTTTGGTGCGCCTTCATCGGGATCTTCAAACGTAGTTGCACTAGTTGAGTAAGATCCCTGCGCAGATGAGCTTCTGCTTTGTGATGGGGAGGCTTCCGCATCTCGTGCTTCAATAGTCGAAATGGATTTCGCATCCCCAGCGCCACTTAGTAACGATGCGGTATTAGAACTCCGATGACTACTGGTGGTTCCAGTACTTAGTCTCGAGCTTTTCCTGGCCTTTACACTCCCAGATGGATGAACGCCCTGTATTCCCGATATTGAAGACGCAGTAGAAGGGCGGCTTCCCGACCTAGGTGGCTGAGGAAACGCTGCAATGCTGATGGTTCGTCGCAGTGATTTATCAGGGCTACTCGGAACCCGGCTACCAGCAACGGTCCGCGATGTGCTGGTGTTGGTCATCGAGCTAGACAGGAGGTGTCTTCCAAGAGTTGATCTAGGGCTAGAAGGGGTGCGCGTCTTGAGGGACGTCTGGGATGGGGACGGCGCCCTTGACGTGTCAGATGCAACAGGAAGGCTTTTCCGTGACCTAGGAGCTGGGAATTGAGGACAGGGCCCAGCCGCAGAGGTCGTGGCCGTCCGCGACGACGGTGGCAAGGTTGACATTTTCAGGTGACTGTGTATTATATGAGGAATTCGCAACTTATACCATGCGGTGTTGGCACATTAACTTATTACTCGGAAAGTTCCGCGGCGGCCATCCGTAAGTGCCAGATTAAAGTCCCAAATTCGCGCCTATTTTAGAAGAAAAGAATCTGTTAGACTTGCCAATGAAAAGTCCTTGAGACATGTAACAATATCACCATATGACCGGCCTTGGGTTGGATTGCAACAGTCTGTCACGCGTTTGTGCCTTTGTAGAAAGAAGCTTGTATGATTTGTGAGGAGATAGGGGAAAGTAGTAGAACAACAACAGGTATACTAGGTTGTCAGGGCACGAATATGGTGACTCACCTTGATTGATATGAGGCAGTCCCGTCTTTCGAAGGCCGAGTCTTGAGTCGGACGTTTCCGCAAATTGCCCAAAGGCTAGGATGTTGCGGGCTGAGATAAGGGGACTGTAACGTAAACAAGCGCCAACCTTTGCGCACGACACAAATGTGTCCGGAAGCCCTTGCTGGCTGGGTCTCTTGCAGCGTTGGGCACGTGTGTAGGTTATGGGCCGATGTCAAATATCCCGTTTCAGCCCTGGCAGACTTGGACAGGCTTCTTTCTTATTACGACAGCGGCGAACTGAGAGCGGCACTGCCGAATGATGGATGGCGTTTGACGAGGGGGCGCTGATCGGGAGCGTTAACACCTGAGAAGAGAACCTGTGCGCAAATCAGGCATGGCCAAAAGAATGGGTAGACAAGTAATCAATCTATTCAGATAGGCAAGATACCC